AAACTTCCTAAAATACATACGTATGTACATTTAAAAAAGAGTTTAAATGGACATCCTATAACAGGAGGACAGTGCCTCTACTAGACATCGTAGGTTAATAAATAAAAATCCCAGTGCCAGGAATGGGTTACGTTTTTGGAGTTGTTGGCAAGTGAGGGCCCATAGACCCCAAACATTACAGACGATTGCCATTGCTCTTGGTTACCTCTAGAACTTGTTGGTAAGATTCTATTGCTGAAGATGCCACATACTTGAGTCATAGTAAGTGGAGAAATCAAGCTGGTCCCGACCTGGAAGCTTCGTCTCTACTGGCTACCTTTCATAGTGCTGGAAGGAGCCGTGCATGCTACTGGAAGAGAAAAGTAATCGTCAATCTTACCCGGCTGTGAGCCAAGCTACAGTAACGACCTGCCTGGTAAGATATACCCACTGGTGCGTTAGTAGCACAAATGTCATGGGAAGAATCCAACTGCTTTTTGATTGGATTTAAGGCCTGCTCTACAAGATGAAACCCATACCAGGCACCATTTTGTGGGCCAAGAACCTGCATCTAGACAGGTCATAGGCCCTAGGGAGTAACCTATTACTATTATTCTGCTAAATGGACATTGAACTTTTAAAACACTGGAATTTTTAAAGATTGTGATACTTTAAAAATTGAACTATATTTTACATTATGATATTAACCTGGGGACTAGTGAGAAAGGCAAGGTTATGGCTTAAAGTAATCTGTGTGTCAGGTTGATGAGGAATGGAATCTCCTTGTTAGCCTCTGCTGACAACTTGACACAGCCCGGACTTACAAGAGGGAACCTCAACTAATGATTTGCCTCAATCAGATTGGCCTATAAGGATGTTTGTGGGGACATTTTCTAGATTGCTGATTGATGTGGCAGGGCCCAGCCCACTGTGGGCAGTGCCACACCTGGGTAGGGGATCCTGGGTTTTATAAGAAAGCTGGCTTCATGAGCAGAAGGGAGCAGTGTTTATCCACAGTGTCTGAGTTCCCTCTGTGGTGACTTGTGACTTGGAAATGTAAGTCAAATATACGCTTTCCTCCCCAAGTTGATTTTGGTGAGAGTGTTTTATCAAAGCAACAAAAAGAACATGAGACTACTCCCCAGTAAAGTAGTAATTCCACATAAATCCTCAGGGAGCAGTGGCCCATACTGAACCCTTACTCCTTCCATGACGGTATTGATGGGCTCCTTATCATAAATCCTGGTACAGTAGAGCCTGATACTGCAGAGTCAGCTACATACAGCCTGGTGCCACGGAGCTTGGAACAGCAGAGTCTGATACTATAGATACCTATATCGGAGCCTAGTATCCCAGTGCCTGGAACTCACTATGTAGACCAGGCTAGCTTTGAACTCATAGAGCTCTGCCATTACCTACACCCCAATGCTGGCATTAAAAGCATGTGCCACCATGCCCACCTGTAAATTTGTCTTAAGAGGAGTTTTAGGTTCACAGAAACCTTGAGAGGGAGGTCTAGAATGCAGTCCCATATCCCCTGACTTTGGATTCAAGCTCGCTCACTATCAGCGTCCACTAGCGTGGTTCATGTGCCATAAAGGTTGAGCCGTAGGGAAACTGTCATAACTTAGAGCCCATGTTGTATGCCAGGGTTCACACTTGGCATGTACCCAGAGAATCATGAGAAGTGTGTAATGACAGGCACCTGCCCCTATGACGTCAAGGGGAATTCTCCCTGTCCCCCAATTCTCTAAGCTCTTCCTGCTCCCCCTCCCTGCAGTTCAACCTGTGCTAACCACTGAGTTTTTATTGTGTTTCCAGAAGGCAGGGCTGGAGCCCATAGTAGACAGTGTATATTTCCAGTGCCTTCAGGTCCTTCCTGACTGGCAGCCTCCTCCTTTCCAATCTCTTATTCCCAAATGCTTTTCTGACTGCAGATGGAAGGATTTGAGAAAGAAAGATTTAGAACCCTCTCTTCTCATGTAAATAGGCATCTTGGGGAGGGATACATGGCAACGAAACCATGGAGGGTAAGGACTGAGCAGCCAGTGGCCCTCACTGCTGTAGACAAGAGGCATGCCCACTCCCTGCAACCCACATCTTTGCAGTGCCACTGTGTTTTTGCCCTTAGTGCCCTGGAGTGGCCTTCTGCCACTTGTGCTGGGCCCTTGCACACCCTGGCTTCTGTACCCTCCCTTTTCCTGTCCTTCGCAGCATGTCTTGTTCCCGTCTTCCCTCCCTCCCTGCCAGTCTTTTCGGCGTCCTACTAGGTGCACCTGTGAGCTCTTCTCTATCTGCCTCTGTTCCCACTCAACAGGCACCAATGAGGTTCCATGGCACACACAGCACAGTCAGACAGGAGAAGACAGAGATGTGAGGGTCGACTTTCAGTCCTTCATCATACTGCCCTTTGACTTCTAACTCGGTCCCTTCTGCGCTCTCCTAGAATGTCTATCTAAGCCAATCTCAATCTTCCTTTGCGGAGGAAAAGAAAGATGGAGTATTTGTCTTGAACTGGTGGGCTTGGCTGTCCCTAGGCTTTCATGAATGTGTCTCTGGCTCCTGGCTGCTTGTTGGGGGTCCTGGCTCTGAGACTTGGTATGGGAGACATCTCTGAACAGTTTGGGAGTCAGAGTGCTGGATGGAACAGTGTAGGGTTCCCCATCCTTTTGATTTTCTGTTTTGCTCTGTCCTTAGGCCCTTGGTAGGGACTTCCATACCCACGTTGGTAGTCCTTCAGGAAGCTCTAAACTGTTTCAACATACCTTGTGTAACTTCTCAGCTCTGTAACTTTTTTTTTTTTTTTTTGGTTTTTTTGAGAAAGGATTTCCCTGTAGCCCCAGGGGACCTGGAACTCACTATGTAAACCAGGCTGGCCTTGAACTCACAGAGATCTGCCTGCCTCTGCCTCCCAAGTGCTGGGATTAAAGGTGTGCCACCACGCCCGGCAACTCTATAACTTTTTTCTTTCTCTCTCTCTCTTCTTCTTTCTTTCCTTTTTTCTTTCTTTTAAAATTATACTTATTTTTATGTTTGTGAGTGTTTTGCCTGCATGTATATAAGGGCACCACATGCATGAACTATCCATGGAGTCCAGAAAAGCGCATCCAGATCCCACGGAACTGGGGTTACATGTGGTTTTTAGCTGCCATGTGGGACCTGGTAACTGAACCAGTGCTCTTAACTGCTGAGCTATCGCTTGCTCACTCTTTCCTCTTTCTCCCTCTCCCCCTCTCCCCCTCTCTCCCTCAGATATATAGTCTAGACCAGCCTCAAATTTGCTATGTAGCCCAGACTGACACAAACTCTTGATCGGCTTCATATATTTGAGGCCTTTGTTATTTAGTTTATGTAGATTTTGTTAACCATCTTTTTGTAACTATAACAGCTACCTAAGCTAATTGGCTTAAAACAAAGAAAGGTTTAGCTTGGCTCACAGACTTGCAGACTCTAGTTATTGGATAGTTGCACTTATTACTTTTATGCCAGTGGGGAGGCACTGAGGCAGTAGAGTGTCTGTGGAGCAATGCCAGTTAGCTCAAGGCAGCCAGAACTCAAAAGAGAAAGAGCGATGGGGCTGATGTCCCAGTGTTTGCTTTAGGAGATAGAATGTTAAAGAGTCTACCACCTTCATTAGCCCATTGACTTGACCCTGCAGGCAACACATGGTCCATTGTACATTGAAATCTCCTAACACCCCTTTCTCCTTCCCCACCTCCAGTTAAGAAACAGGGAGAACTTGTATTAAAAAAGAAAAGTAAAGAAAGAAGCAGGGAGATCTCACTGTGTGGTCTTGGACTTCTGGATTCTGCCTCACCCTCCAGAATAGCCAGGGTTATAGGAGCATCCTGTCATAGTCTCTCTCCCTCTTTCTTTCTCTCCCTCTCCCTCCCCCTCCCTCCCTCCCTCCTCCCTCTCTTCCTCTTTCTTTCTCTCCCCCCCTCCTCTCTCTCACGTGCGTACAGACATCTTGTGTGGATTCTTTTGGGAATGTGCACCTAGTGAAGGGCTGAGGTCCGCACTCTTCATCTTCCTCTCTGGCTCTTTGCCATCATTTTTGAGACTGTTTCTCACTGAATCCAGAACTTGCTGTATTGTGCTAGACTGACTGGCCAGTAAGTTCCAGGGATCTGCCTGTCTTTGTCCACTGCCTCCAGCCCAGTGCTGGGTTACAGATATGTGCCAAGGTGCCCATTTTTAGGTGGGCGTTGGGGATCTGAACTCAGGTCCTCATGCTTGGAGGGCAAGCTGTACCACTGAGCTTTGGCCCATCCCTGGCTCTGCAGTTCTTTGGGGCTGTGTTCCTAATGGAGGGAAAGCAGTTTCTTCATCCTTTTCTGCTTCTGTAGGGTCCATGTATGCCTTCCACCTTCCGTTCCTGGAAAATGCACGTTCAGTGTCCTCTCCTTCTTACTCAAAAGGGATCACACTACACACGCCATTCTCTGTCTTTCTTTTGTTACTTAGAAAAAACCCTGCAGGTTTTCTCAAAGTTCACAGACTCTCCTGGCTCCTAAGCTTGTTTCCCATCACCCGCTACCAAGTGTGGCTGTGCTCTAGTTCATGAAGTATTCTTCCCTGTAGATGGAAATTCACTTGTCTCCAGACTTTTGTTGTTACAGGCAGTACTGCAACAAATCAGCACATGCATCAGAGGATAAAGCAAACATGCTAAACAATGACCGGAGGGTGGAGGTGTTGGAATTCTGTTAGATTTTCCCATAGCAGCTTCCTCACACACGCCCACCACTGAGGTGGTCAGTTCCACTGTAGCCTCCAGGAGAGGGAACAGAAAGACATTCAGATATCGAAAAACCTACTGAACAGAGAAATCTAGTATCTCAGTGGGCTTCCTCTGCCCTGCTCATGGAGATCTTTTGGGAGGGCAGTAGAGAAGTATCAACGGAGCCTGCGCAAGTGACCCACACCCTCCCCCTGCCTGTAAGAAGCAGCATACAGTGGTAGAAGCGGAAGGGTTTATTGTCTGCCTTTGTGGGGCTTATCAGGAAGGAGCGGGGGGTTGGTCTCCTCACACAGGATTGTAGCTGAAAGGGAGAGGCGTCAGGCAGTCCCTGTCTTCAGGAATCCAGTGCCTGTTGTAGTTGCAGATTCTGTACCTGACTGTCACTTGATACCGTGGACAAAGTCGAAGGGCTGGAGCAAGAAGCCCACGTAGTTCTTAGGTATGGCCATGCTGGGGACGTCCTCAAAGTGCGGGAGGAAGGCCGTGGTTATCCAGGCCACCAAATCCTATGGGAGAGACATGGGGTGCAATGGGCAGGGCAGTTCTAAGTACTGGCCACTTGAGGGCACTCTGGCATGGAGTATTTTTAGATATGGCTACAAACTTCCTGAGATGTTGTCAGCCTATGTGTCATGACCTGAATTTTCCCTTCTCTCAGCAAAGCACAATTCTGGGACAAGGGAGAAAATGAGGTATGGGCTGGCGACAAGGCCAGAGGGAGGCAGGAGTACTTGACTAGCCAGTACCTTGTCTTCAATGCTGTCATCGTTTTGAATAAAGTCTTCGAAGGTCACAGGGTGGGCCCAGTGGTGGTTCCGGTGGACGAGGTTGCTGAACCGCTCAGATTCCTGGTACTTGGTCACTGCCAGTTGGTACCTGCAGGCAGAGAAGCCAGGTAACTCTGAAAGCCGGGGCTGCCTCTGAGCCCCACCACTAGAATATCCTCAGGGTCAAGGATTGGGAAGTTGCTGCTTCCCCCGGAACCAGTGATTTTGATTTTCTCCTGGGATCCACAAGACTGCCGGCCTCCATCTGCTAGCAGGGCAGGGCTCCACTCTCTCCCTGGGTGCATTAGGAAGCACACCCAGAGATCGACACAAACACAGAGCCTCCTGGACAGAACCACAGATGCTCTACTCCACAAAATCACTGAGGGGAGCTCCTGGTTTCCCCTCAACCCACCCTAGGTCCCTCACCTGAACCATTCGAAAGCCGTTGACTTCTGCCAGCCTTGGGGCAACACTGGGCCAGCTGGGGAGTGGACCTGCAGGCGATAGCTGCTCCTGGGACCCCACATGTTTTTTTTGGTGCTGCTAAAAAGCAGATACTTGGGCAGAGTCTGTGTGAAGCGGAAGGCAGCCTGGCGCTCCCTGGAATACTGGGTCTTGTGGAGTATGGTCTTGACCTGGTGGCTTCTCTGGCTCCATGGGTTGGTTTTGTTTTTCAGTCTCATCTGCGCTGTCTGGAAGCTGTTCTTAGTGCCTGAAGATGTCAGCAGAGCAGGACAGTAAGGATCAAGTGCTGGACAGATAGATGCCTCGTCCCCTTTCCCTAGGCTATTCATGTTAGTCCAAATTCTCAGCCATCCCAAAGGAAGGGGCAGTGCTGGGGCCAGGCACTGGGTTAGTAGTGTGGGCTAGAGAGGCGAGACCAAGAAATCCAATAACCAGATGAGCCAGAGGACAGCTCATGGGTCAGTCATGGCAACCATGGAGATTTAGGGTAATCTTGGGCTGTTCTCTAGAGAACTGTGATCTAGTCGGTTTGCTGTGGCTTTAACTTGGAGAAGGGCAGCCTGTGCAACTGTGGACCTGAACCTGTGTAGTTGTGCCCTGGACAAGAGGGTCAGGAAGGGATGATTGGGTGGAAGCCACCCAAATGGCCCTGGTGTCCCTGTCCTGCTATGGATCGGATGTCCAGCATCACAGCCCTACTGTTCCTCTGTGGTGACATCATTCAGGAAACATGCTGAGCATGCCCAGATGGCACCATAGTCCATCTCAAAGTGCTTGGCAGTGGGATTCCTTACTCCCCATGGCACTTCCTCCTCTCCATCCTGGGCACTCTTCTACTCAGCCCTAACAAGGGCGGATGCACAACTCACATTCACGATAACCCTAGGGCACCATTCATCTCTGCCAATTTTCAGGGGTACATACTGGTTTCTTTTTTTTTTTTTTTTTTTTTTTTTTGTGTGTGTGTGTGTGTGTGTGTGTGTGTCTTTCCAGTTGGCCTAGAACTTGCTATTTAGACAAGGCTCGCCTTGAACTCATGGAGATCCACCTGCCTTTGCCTCCCAAGCGCTGGAATTAAAGGTGTGTGCTACCAAGCCCAGCTGGCTATTTCTTTATATATGCAAGAAGCCTGAAAGAATAAACCTGATTTTATGCCAAGGATTCTTTGCCCCTTCTCTTTTGGGTGAAGTTATTGAAAGCATTTTAGTGACAGGGAGGGTGTGGTCTCAAGTCTTACCTGCCACGTCCAGGTCAACACGGTAGTGCACTAGGTGGAAGCGGATGTTTCCAAGCAGGTGGTCGTGCAGGTGAGTGCCATGGGCCTGCCCCTCTGGGGTATAGAAGGTGGTATGGATGCGACCGGTGGCATGCATCTTGGCTTCTATCACCCCATTAGGGTAGAAGATATAGTCCCAGATATAATCATAATTGTAGACCGCTGAGGTCGTCCGCAGCACCAACATATGTCCCTTCAAACTCTCATAGTGATTGAAATAGTCTCTGAAGTTGGAATTAAAGTGGTTCCCAAGGGGGACGTCTGTGGGCATCTCAAAGATACAGAGTGCTTGGGGATAATGGACTGGGTCATCACTGTCATAGTAGTAGATGGCATCTACAAAGGTGGCTGTGTCAGGACAGTCGATGCCAGGGACTAACTGGTGAATGACACCACCCAGGCCCCAGCCCAAGTTGATGTATTTTGTTTCTGTTCCTTCTGGTCCTTGTCCTCCATAGAGCGCCATGGCTGCCTGTGCACTGATCTCATAGGCGATACGCTCACCCTTGAAGTGCACGTTAAAGATCTGCAGCCCAGAAGTGGCTCTCAGGTGGAAGAAGAAGGTCCAGCCTCCGTAGAGCACGGTGTTGTCTTTGAGGCTGTAATGGGGAGCACTGGGCCGGAGCACGCGGGTGGCAGTCTTGCTTATAGGCTTGGGGTATTCTCTACCGTGTTTGTAGGAGAGGGTTGGTGACTGCTTTGTGATCTTGGGCAGTAAGTTCTCAAAGTCCACCGTGTCTACTTCTCCGTCCTTATATTTCCGAGCCAGTTCCTCTGCACTCTGGTAGAGCTTGCTGTTGTACCAGAGTTGTAGTATTCTCCAGTTCTGGACATTTGTGCTCCCATGGTCCACAAGGATCTCCAGCCCTGTGGGTTGTGGCAACTGATCTTCCACATGGAGCTGCATGATAAACCAGCTATGGCGTTTTCTGAGTGCCATTCCATGAGGGGCCACATTGGTGAAGGTCAGGCACTGGCCATTGCAGTCCTGTAGTGTGTATCCAGTGGTGTCAAAGAAAAACTCGTTCAAGGGCTCAGTGGCCTCCTTCAGGACATCATGGAGGAGAGCAGACTCTACTTTGGACATGGGTCTGGATGCCCAGGGGAGCTCCTGCCCTTGCCCACGGTTCAGTTTCCGCATGTACACGGGCTGTTTGATGGGCCCCACGGCATACTCGGTAACATTGGGATGCTCCTGGGCGCCAAAGTAAATGAGGACACGAGCTTCCCGCAGAGGAGGACTGGTTCCTTTATCGAGAAAATCCAGTACCTCGTGCTTCCTGGGCAGTAGCCTCTCAATGAGGAATACACAGTTCTTGGCCAGAGTCATTGTCCTGGCTGGCTGCAGCTCCAGCTCCTCCCTGTTCATCAGGTAGGCGTGCACGGACTCCAACTCTTCAGCACTCATGTCTGCGAACACTTGAGTCTCGCCATCCGGTCCCCCCCTGAAGCGTTCTGCCGTGGACATCTGTAGCAGAAAGATGGCAGCCATCCAGCCCAGGGCCAAGCTCATTCTGGCCAGATCCATGGCTCTGAAATCCAGCAAAGGTGAGGAGAGAGGACTTGCAAGTTAGCACCTCAATACCTTGCTAATACCTTTCTCCAGCTGATTTTCTTCCCTCTACCCAGCTGAAGCTAGAGCAGGAGTCTCACGGTCCTCACTGTTCCCAGTGCTCCCCAGGCTTCTGCGTGCACATCTACCTGTTTCCTCCCTCATCTGTAAATCTCTTATACTCTTTCTTATCTAGATAACTCCCATGTTTTCCTCTTTTATTGACGTTATCTCGGTGGAGGAACATTTATCAGCCATGTATACCATGAGTCGTAGCAGCAAAGGCTTAGTCTCAAGGGCTACAGAGTGCTCATGTCCTGGTGGGGCAGGAGGCTATTCTGACACCAAAACTACCTTTTTGATGCAACAAATTATTCTTAGGAAGATACATTTTGAAATGTATTTTAGATGTTCAGAATTCAGGCTCTGGCGTCAAGCTGTCCTAGGTTCAAGTCCTGGTATATTATACCCCTAATGGCTACTCATGTGACATTGGCCATGTTTAAACTCTTGGCTTCATTGTCTCAACTGTGAGGCAGAAACGGCAGCAGCAGCCTGGATGTCCCTAAGCTTGCAGAGCAGTGCTAGAGTGGTTGAGCACGGGGAGTGTTGGCTTCCCTTCAATGTGAACTCCGTTGATACTGTTGGACCCTAACACATTGGAGGTTCTGAGTGCTATAGAGGGACTGGAGTGAGTCTAGGCTGTGAAGCTCAGATGGGGAGAGCCCTGCCCTGCCTAGCCTTCTCTAGCCTCCTAGTTCAGTATTCCACTTGGAGTTTCTTGCCCAGCAAGGTGATTTGAATGCCCCTGTCAGGTCATCAGGTAGTAAGTCAGGGGTATGCCTTCTTCTTCGTTTTGGGGGAGGAATGGTCAGGGTTTTTACTGCTTCATCATGTCCCCAAACCACTAGGAAAGTACTGTGTATTTACAGAGTGTGGGGTTGCTTGTGCTGTGGCAGACCTCGGTGGCTGCCACTATTTTTTCTCTTTTATGTGGGGTGAGGCTGTGTGTCCCTGCTATGTGCAGAGTGCTTGGGAGATCTTGCCTCTTGCATACATGCTGGCTGCTGCTACTGTCACCAGCCTTGGTTTCTCCAGACACTAACCTGACATAGATGCTGCTGACCCCCAACGGGAAACATTGTTCTTCCATCTCACTACAAGGAAACTGTCTCATGCCTGCCATGATGCCAGAAGACTCTCCTCTTCTTAAAAAAATTTAATTTATTATTTTATTTGTTATACTGTTTGCATGTATGTAAGTGCACCCATGTCATGCAGTGTCCACAAAGGTCAGAAGGGGGTGCCAGATCCCCTGGAACTGGAGTTATGGACGGTTGTCAGCAGCCATGTGGGTGCTGGGAACCAAACCTGGATCTTCTGCAAGAGCAGACAGTGCTCTTAACTGCCGAGCTATTTCTCCAGCCTCCAGAAGTCTCTTCTTAACTATGTAGGCCCACTCAATGGTCTCTCAGGGTCTCTGCATGTACTTCCCGTGCTGCAGGTGGGGTGGGGTCCAGCGGCCTAGCTTGGAGCTTGGTCCTGTAAGTGGGTGGAAGGGCTCTAAGAGGTCCTTGCAGCCAAAGCTGGTTGATTACATTTTGTTCCTGTGATTTTTACCCCTTGGCAGAAATCTGGAGAAAACCCTTTCCCCTCTGAGATGGAGGTACAGAGAGGGACTCATAGGTCTCTGTTTCTGTGTATCCTTTGCCAGCAGGGAGCAAACAGATGGGAACTTGGGTGCATTTCACCTAAGACTGGCAGTGTAGGAATTAGGCAAAGGGAAGAATAATTGGTCATCAGAGACATGAGGGAGGAGCTGGGCCACAGAACCCGAGTTTGTGGACACTTCTTGTTATTTGGAAATGAGTTTTCTTCACCACGTATCCCATTTACAAGTGTGGGCAACACAACCCATGTGCTTACAAGAGGCCCAGTTTCCTTTGAGGATTCTTCCTGCCAGAGAAGCTTTCCCGCTTGATTCTTTATGCCAAGTTTGTACCCTATGTCTCTCTTCAAAGTTGACCAAAACCCTATCCCACCAACGAATTTTCTGTCTTTGTCTTTGACCTAGCTTGTTCACTGCCCACTCACTGCCCCCTAGCACTTTGGTGTTTTGTCTCCACAGGAACGAGCATCTCTTGACTGCAGATCAGTGTAAGGCGTGTGCTGGACCTGCTCCATCCCCTGATGAGCTGGTGGGGTGCTGGGAGCCTCAGCTCTTCTGTCCTTGTGTCTCCTGGCCCTGGAGATCAGTCGAGGCTGAACTAATTCCTCTCCACTGTCCTAGCTCCCACTGTGAACTCTCATGCTTGTTTGACTTCATAGAAATGGTCTACCCTGGGAACTTATGTCTGTGGGTCCTGTCTTGGACCTCTGGTGTTTATGGGAAAGCTCAGGGACCCATATTATCTGGTGAATTCAGGGTCCAGCCTGACAGGAATGGGTGAGACAGGAGACTTTTGGGTCAACTCAGAGTCAGCAGGAGGCTATGAGCCTTGTTGTATGTTTTTGCCCTTTTTAATTTAGAACTAGATTTCATTTCTTTATTTTGTGTGTGCGTGTTTCTCACTCTCTCCTTCTCTCTCTACATGTTTGCTGATGTAATGAACATGTATGCATGTATATGTGTAGTTCAGAGATAATCTTGTGTATCATTCTTTAGGGGCTGTTTAGTGTTTTTTGGAGACAGTCTCTCATGTAACCCTGTCTTGTCTCAAACTTGCTATAAGTTAAGGGTGGCTTTGAACTTCTGATGCTCTCGCCTCCACTTCCCCAGTGCTGAGATTACAGTGGTGTGCCACCTCATCTGGCTTTATTATTTATTTATTTATTTATTTATTATCATTTAGCAGTAGGGTCTCTCATTGACATGGAACTCACCAAGTTAGTAAGGGTGTCCCAAGGATCTACGTATCTTTGCCTCATTGGCTATAGGATTACAAGCATGTACCAACATGTCCAGTTTTTTTTCCCTGTAGGTTCTGGGAATCAAATTCATATCTTTGTGCTTGTAAGGCCAGCACTTACACGATTGAACTATCTGCCTACCTCCTAGATTTCAGGTTTAAAATTTTTTTATTGGCACCTATTAATTATTTATAACGTGTTTATGACCTTGTCGCAAATGTACTTGATTTTTAATCATATTCACTCACTTTTGATATTTCTGCAAGACACCATAGGTTCTCAAATAAAGAGCCAGGTGCTGGGTGATAGATTAGCTTCCTTTCAAGTTGTTGGTCAGTGGTCCCATAGACAGCCCCCAAACATTACAGGCTACTGCTAGCCTTCAGAACTTGATAGTAATATTTGATTACTGAAGACAACATATACTTGAGTCATAATACATGAAGAAATCAAGGTGGTACTGACCCGGAACTTCATCCCTACTGGCCAGCTTTCATGAGAAGGTTCTATACTTGCTGGTGGGGGAGAAAAGTCATCAACAGTCTTACCCACATTACCCTGTGAGCTACAGTAATGACTAGTCTGGCAAGATAAGCCCCCTGGTGCAATAGTGGCACACATACTGTAGGGCAACCAACCACTCTTGGGTTGGATTTAAGGTCTTCTCCACTAGGTGAAACTCATGTCTTGTATGGTTAACTGGCCAAAGACCTGTGGCTGGCTAGGTCATAGGCCCTAGAAGAACCCATTACTACACATCTGCTTAGTAAGCATAGTGATAAACTGCTCCTTAAGTTATTTTTTTTAAATTAAAAAAATATTTTATTTTTTTTAAATTAAAAAATATTTTATTTGTTATTTTTATTTTATGTGTATACATGTGTTGCCTGCATGTAGGTAAGTGCACCTGCGTTGTGCAATGCCTGCGGAGGACAGAAGAGGCTGTCGGATCCTCTGGAACTGGAGTTGTAGACAGTTGTTAGCTGCCATGTGAGTGCTTGGAATTGAACCCAGGTCTTCTTCAAGAACAGTGCTCTTAACCGCTGAGCCAACTCTCCAAGCCTCGTCATTTATTTTTTATACCCATAGATTACTGTATCTCTCAATGCTCATAGGAAGAGCTTCTAGATGGGAGTGATACAGTGACCTACAACTGGCCAATGTGCAGAGAATAAGAGACTGTGGAGTGCTCAGCTCTAGGCGGGACACTGTCCTCACCCCATGGCTCAGGAACCATTATGAAAGAGGGGGCAAGGAGTAGATGTCCGCAGCAAAACAGTTTTCTGGACATGACAGCACAGTCGCACACGGTGACTGGGACTGCGTGCGCAAGATTTGCCCCGGATCAAGCCAGCCAAACCCAGTATGGATGGGGAGGGGCTCAGGAAGTCTTATCCATGCTGTGGGAGGAGGGAGAGTCAGTTTTCTTCAGGGATGTGGGCCCTGAGAGGCTACTCATGCCCAGTAGATAGTCTCATGCTCACACACATGTAGGTGGCACTAGTGGACTCGGTGGATATTAAAAGAGGACAAACGTGAAGCAGTGGGGGTGATGGGGAGAAATTGAGGGGAGGGAATGGAGTAGCTTTGATCAAAGCACTTTATATGCATATATGAATATTAAATATATAAAAATATTTTTATTAGCAAATATTAATTATTCATACTGGGTCTCATTATAACATTTCATAAGTATACACACCATTTTATCCTATCTCCCCGCTGCCCTGTTCTCTCCCCTCTCTAACTCTTGCTGATCTTCAAATTCCCCTTCTACTTCCTCCCTAATCCCTTTTCTGCTTTTAGATCTTACTTTTTGTTTGGTGACTCAAAGAGTGTCATTGTGGTTCTTACAGCAGCATGGGAAAAGTTTTGCGTATGTGATTATGGGCAGCCAGCCGGAGGCTACATCACTGAGGAAAATGTCTCTCCCTCCCAAAAACCTTTAACTGGGTATAAATCCCCAGGGAGGGCTGGAATTCGATGAACCCTCCTTCCTTCCATGACAGGGTATGGACAGATCAAATCTCGTGCAGGCCTAGACTTCATGTTTTTTAAAAATGTTT